ACTTTGAGTTCTAGAGAAAAAGATCCACGTCGACTTGAGCTGTCTTCCAAAATTCACTGCCAGTACTGAAAGTCTATAATATACGTAACGTGAAGTATAGATTTCCAGTACTGACATACTTGCTTTATTTTAGTACGTAGTACGTACAGTCGGGTGCTATTTTGCATTCTATGAAGCAGTTGACCTTTCCAGCAAATATTTGAAAAATATTTACAAAATATTACTATAAATATTTACAAAATATTACTATAAATATTTATTTGTTACTTACTATAAATATTATATAAAATATTTAGTCTTTATTTTAATAATATATGGAATAAAGTTTTTATGATTTTTTCTTTTAATGTATACAAAATATTATGTGCAAAATATTTATATAATATTTTAAAAAATAAATAGTAACAAATTTTTATGAATATTTATCATAAATATTGTGTGCTGTTTGAGTACATTATTATTCGATTGTGCAATTATTATTTCATACTCTCACGTACTGATTTTTTACTTCTTAAGAGAAGGTTTAAGATAAAAATACTCTTTCTTTTTCTCTCCTCTTTCCTCGCCCCTTTCTATCTATTTTTTTCCTTTTATCATCCTTCTCTCTCGATTTCTTTTCTTTTCATCCTTTCTTTCTCCCTCTCTCTTTCCTATCTCTCTCCCTTTCCGTATAGCGCAGCATCCATTATCGAATGCGCAGACTCTACGTCTGCAACATCTCTCGGAAGGGATGATCTCTCTCGCTCAGTATTGAAAATTCGTACGACGCAAGTGATTCGTAGCTATCAAACGACGTGATCTCACTGTAGATTCTAACTAGTGAATGAGTGAGTGAATTGCAATTGCAGAGATTACTAATAACATCGAATGGGATAAACGTGAAGGACCGCGTCGTTTCGCATCTGCTCAGGTCGAGAGAAAGTCGCGGAACGTTCGATTCGCACCACCGATGGCAGATCACGATAACGTTTACGACGACGAGGTAATTAATTAAATCATCTAAATTTTGCCATCATACGTCGCACAATGTTTTGTGTGATTTCTTTTTTAATTTTTGCTAATTTTAAATAAATGAATATATTTATTTATTATCCTCCTTGATTTTTATACACGACTATGAGAAGCAGATTTTCTTGAAAAAATGTAGACAAAAAGCGATTGTATCCATTCATTTTTCAACTTATTTTTTGTAAGTTAATATTATTAACTAATCCTAATGGATGCTAGTTAAAAATGGCAAGTGCGCCTTCGCAGCAACAAGTATTATCAATATATGATGATAAGATAAATGGAAGATTTAATTGCCACAAATGGATATTGAGCAAGTAAAGTTTTTTTCGAAAAAATATGTAGCAGAAGTTGTTACTATTTTATGTACTATTATTATATCATAATATCATGATCTCACTATAAATTATTTACAAATATACTATTATTCTCATAATAACATGATCTTTTAATTCATGCACATATATAATGTGTATAATACACATTTACAAAATAATTCAGGAAGAGTAATGCTTAATCAAAACGCTTAATTATCAACTTTCCCTTGAAGAGATTATATATTTTATTTAATTATTCTACACATTATGAATTAAATAGTGAAATATTGATTTCAATCAATATAATAGATAAATGTAACCGTTCGATACAATTTTAGATTGCTATTTAACGGTCTTATATACTTTTGAAAAGATGATTTTGATAAATTCGACCTATAGTACATAATTTGATAAATTTCTACACATGGAAAATTAGACTCGTCAAAATTAAACTTATTATTAAAAAAAAGCCACTTTCTCAAGAGCACGATATATATTGATACGCGTTCATCTCTTAACTCGTTGACGCACAGCGCAGTACATCGCTTCTCTCTCTATCGATTTTAGCTACAGCAGCTGACTAGATTCTATAGCTTTTGCTATGCAACACAAGACTCCTGTAATCGGCTCTTTTATCTACACGTCATTAGCGTCATGATATTAGTGATCTTTAACCATTTTTTCAAGTGTTTAAACCGAAAAAAATTTTATGGATATTTATAGAAACGGTTATACCCGCGAGTTCCGTCCTTGTCGGCACTATTTCTCTCTCTCTCTCTCTCTCTCTCTCTCTCTCTCTCTCCGCAGCTATAGATGACATGTTACACATAGTTTACATTGTTTACGTGCAGACATAGTGCAGACGTAGACTATTATAGTTTACCAAAAAGTAAAGAAAAACAGGAGTGAGCATATCGGTAGTGCGGTAGACTTATAGCGAACCATTGTACTCCATACATATTGGAATGAGCGATTCCATTGTTTGGCTGTCGCCACTATTTCGTCGAGAGAGAGGTGCGTTTGAATTTTGGCATTTCTTTCTAATATTACCTGATTAGTCCATGGCATGTCACGTGATATCAGAATGATGTGACGTGCATGCCATGGACTAATCAGGTAATATTAGAAAGAGATGCCAAGATCCAAACGCATCTCTCCCTCGGCGAAATAATAGTGACAGTCAAACAATGGGATCGTTCATTCCAGTATGTATAGAGTTCAATGTCGCGAACGGTAGTACGTCATCGCAGCCATCTTGACTGTCCACTTTTTTGACGTTTTCCAGGGCCATGCACAGCCACTTGTTGCCTTATTTGTTTCAATGTGCACTTATTTTGCGCACGATCACTGATTCTAAATAAGTGAGAGGAAGAGCCAGTATTAAGCTAAAAAAATATTATTAATAAGTGTTAATTGTAAGATCATGGCGCATTGCCAGGCCTTTGAGGTACTTCCAGTATCTCTATCATGTTGCAATTCGTCTCTGAGCGGCCATCTTGACCCACTTATAGTCACTTCCGTCCGCTTGCTTAACACCAAATGCTCATTCCTGTTATTCTTTACTATTTGTAGTTTACGGATAAATGCCCAACCCTGAAATAAATTCGCTGCGCGCTACTGTAGATAAGTGAATCTTTAGTAGAATCTTATCGGTAATAAAACAGTAATTTGGTACAATAAAATGTTCATTTTGTTATTCTTGAGGCAGTTACATAAAAGATCTATACATTTCCGATGATAAAATAATAATTAGATGAACTAAAATAACCGTATAAATTAACTCGTGTAATTATCTTCGATGCAGTCAAAACGGCCGGTAATGTCATCAATCTTCTCTATTATCTCAAGGGTCCACCGAGCCCATTAGGTAACCTTGAAAATCTACCCAGGATCAACGGTCTTTAATAGTATCTCGTCGGTGGTTTACACATATAAGTGTAATATAGTTTTACACACATAAGTTTTTTCTATCTACTGTTTGCAAATCTAATGTATAAATTACTTTATTTTTTATATAAATGTTTTATTATATTTATTATACAAGGTGAGTCTTTTTAATCTTAACAGGCAAATATTTCAAAACCTGTAAGTTTTGGAAGGAAACTTTTTAGATAAAAGTTGTTTGGTTCTGAGGGGGAAAGGAGATAGGAATATCCTCTTTCTTTCCCCCCCCCTCTCTCTCTCACTAAATTGTTCTGTCGATGATCTAATACTCATATCCTAGTCCATCGTATTACTTGCTTTTATTTCCCAGCTAACACAAACCAAGATGTCGTAAAAAAGTATAAAAAAACGTCTAAATTTTTCAAATATTCATGTTAATGTCGTTAATATCATTTAAATATATTATATGATATATATATTCTAGATTAAATTGTAAAATTCTTTCTTTATGTTATAGAGAGTCTCTGTATTATATATATATTATGTTGAAATATATTTTGCACTTTAAATTAAGATCATTAATATTTTTATCAAGTGGAAATTTACATTTATTTTTAACTATCATGTTAATGGTGGGTATTTTCGATATTACAACTGCGGAAAGGAATTTAAAGATACATGATATACACAGCACAATGATCTAATTGTTTGACATTAGCGTTAGTAAAAACCTTTGTGATAGGAGCTAGTTTCAGCCAATCCAAATCAAAGGAATTGGCGTGGGATTTTAATAGCGTTACTCGTGATCGTCGCGGTCCTAGCACTTATTGTTACATCTGTCGCTTTGCTTACACCTCCCGATGATGGCCCCAGAGTACGAGGGACGCGGTTACGTCTCTCCGAGGTGAGTAACGAACAATTTGTATTAAATCAACATTCGTAATTAAAATTAATTACGAGAAGATGTGAGAAAATACAGAGCCAAAAAATTTTCTGTAATTTTTGTATAAGATGTGAAATAATATTTCTCTCTGTTTAAAAAAAATATTTTCGGCATTTTACGATTTTATATGTATGAGAAATATATTTTGGCTTAAATTTAACGTATATCGCATGTCGCAAACGATCCACACAAATTTTTGTGTTAATTTAACATAATATGGAAAAATTAAATAGTGACATTAATATCTTGTTAATATTTTAACACGAAATGAATACAAACTTTATAGTAATTAAATCATAGTGAAATAAATTGTGTGTAAAATCAACATATTTTTAATGATAAAATTAACTTAGAAAAATGTTATTGATCTGTAATCACTCTTACTTCTATCATAGAATAAAGTCAACATTCTTTTTCCGTAAATTTTAACAAATAGATCCTGTCACTAATGATACGGAACATATCTATTGTGTAAAACTAAAAAGAGGTGCACATTGTGTTAATTGTATACTTTTTTCAGTTGTTTTAATAATTTAACATTTGAGTTCAATTAATACAGCAGCAATATGTTAAATTAACATATGAATGTGTTCAATATTTAACACAAAAATTTTAATCGGCATATTTTTTAACAAGAAAACACAAATTTTCCAACAGTATATAATTTTAAAATGCCGAAAATATCTCTTTTCGCACAAATCATCATGTCTTCTAAAAATAAAAATAGAATAAATGGGATTGATTCAAAGATGCCCTTTTGCCTCTTAGGTGCTTTCCGGAGAATTGTCTCCTTTATTATTTAATGGATCTTGGGCGAGTAATCGCCATATATGCTACCGAGATATTTGGGGTGGCATCTCTTTGTTAAATGTTTCGGATCCAAACATCGTATCGCGCAGTTTAATGCCAAATGAAACATTAGTAAGTATTTACCTAAGAATGCCATCAATTACGCTATTTTTAGTTTAGTTGTCAAATAATAAACATTGATAACTTTTTTTGTACAGAGACGGCTGAATCCAGTAAAATTTTCCTTATCGCCGGATCGTCAATACTTGCTTCTTGCTCAAAACGTGAAGAAACTGTTTCGTTATTCGTATCTAGCACAGTACGTCATTTATGACGTCAAGACACGGTCAGTATAATTTTTATACACGGATAACACATTGATTATTTATAGTATTATTTAATGTTTCAATAATAATCCTCCTTTAATGCATCGCTAATTCAATTAAATCTTTTTAAATTAAACGACGTATATGACGTTTAGAAATTTCTACAAATGATTTTTTATAGAGAATGCATAGTGTTAACTCCTCACCCTGAAAAAGATGTTCACCCGTATCTTCTACTAGCGCAATGGACTCCGCTCAATGGACACGGGCTCGTCATGGTACAGGACTACGATATTTATTACAGAACAAGTCCTATGAGCATAGGATATCGAGTAACAAACACTGCGGTACCTGGTATATTGTCCAACGGCGTACCAGATTGGCTATACGAAGGTAAGGCACACGTATGTCAGATAATAAGACTTTTATTCTATCAAGTTTTTGTATATGCGCAATTTGGAGACAATAAATAATAAGAGAAAAAGAAAGAGAGAGAATTAAATTAAATAAAAAAAGGAAAGAGTACAATTTCGAAGTTAGGAAAATATGTATAAACTATTGGAAAATTTATGTTTCCTTGTTAAAAAATATGACAATAAAAATTTTTGTATTAAATATTTAATACATTTATATGTTAATTTAACATATTTCTGTTGTATTAATTGAACTCAAATGTTAAATTATTAATACAACTAAAAAAAGTGTACAATTAACACAATGTGCACATATTTTTAGTTTTACACACAATAAATATGTTCCGTATTATTAGTCACAGGATTTATCTGTTAAAATAAATAGAAAAAAATGTTTATTTTATTCTACAATTAGAGTGAGAGTGACTATAGATCGTCAATAATAACATTTTTCCAAGTTAATTTTATTATTAAAAATATGTTGATTTTACACAAAATTTATTTTAAATTATTATGAAGTTTGCATTCATTTTGTATTGAAACATTAACATAGCATTCGTGTTATCATTTAACATATCCATATTATTAGCGTTTTCGAGTGAAGCAAGGTTTGATTGCTCTGAGAGTGATTAAACCCAAATTTCCATGAACATATGTTCGACCGAAAATGAGTTTTGAAATTGATTAATATAAATAAGTATATCCCTAATAACTTAAGACAGTGTTTATGACATTAATCGTTCTCAGAACGAAATTTATTTTACACGAAAACGCTATATGTTAAATTAATACAAAAATTTGTGTGGATTGTTTGGGACATGCGATATATGTTAAACTTAAGCCAAATTTCTCAACAGATTGATAGAGAGAGAGAGAGAGAGAGAGAGAGGGAGGGAGGGAAGGAGAGAGAGAGGGAGAGATTGATTGATTAGTTTTTACTAGCTTTCTCAGCTATTTGCATTACAAATCTTCAACCCAGCAGTCAATCCAGTCTCCTACAGTGCTATGCATGACTCATTATCTTCATATCTGATGCTGTATCCTTTTCCTTCTGTAGTTGTTACTTAGTGTCCTCCCAGCCGGTTCTCCTCTTCTCCTCCTGTATCGCCCTTTTAAATGTCGGACATTCCGGATCAAGGGCGTCATGCTCATCACTTATTTTCAAGTTGTATGTTTGAATCTTAAACATACAATTTATACATCTTTTGTTTGTAGCCATGCATTCAATCGCTCTATGAGTTTTTGCACATTTGTGGCATGTTTCATTTCGCGTACAATTCTTTGCAATATGATAATAACCCCAGCATTTAAAACACCTTTTAATATTAATGTGATTAAATACCAGACACTTTCTCCATTCTACATTCAGTTTTCCCATGCTCAACATTATTTCATGAGTTTTTTCATCTGCTTCAATTATTACAGAACCTTCTTCTTTACCTCTTTTTCCGGATTGACTTTTAACTATTTTCTTCACTATTCGCATATGAATTTCTTCATTCTTCGCGTCGATCTTGTTCTGCTTTTTGATTGTAACTATTAAATTATCATCATTCAACTTCATTTCTTCTTCGCCAATATTGACAATTTTTATCTTAGGTTTCATCCGCGGTTACTCAGTTACTTTGAAATTTTTGCCCAGCTTGGCTTGTACTGTAGGCTTTAATTTTTCCATTTCTTCTTCAGTCTCACAACCCAGAATCACTGTTCCCTTGCTTCCTTTTTTTAGCTTCGTTACTCCCACAGGCATATTCTTGATGTCTATCTTTTCTTTTATCAATTTTTTAGTAACTTCACTCTCCTGTTGCATCTTAGGTTTGACAATTATAATATTTTCTTTTTTATTTTCTTTAACTGCATCACTATAACTTCTTTGTGCTCCTTCTGACGGTCCTGAAGTTCCTTCCTGTATCATTCTTCTCAATTCTCCCACTTCTTGTTTAAAATTTTCCAATTCTTGTCGAACTATTTCCTTAATCATCATCTTGACTTCCTTTTTACACGCTGTTTCATCTTTTATTTCCTTCACTATTTTTATAAGCCAATCTATTTTTACCTCAATTTCCGCTGATCCACTCGCGCCTGCTACTCTGTTTCCACTGCTTGATGCCGTACTCCCCGTTGATCTTCCTGTCGATGTCATAGCTGCTTCTTTATCGCTATCGATAATAAATTTGTCAAATGGTCCACCACACGCCACCAATTCGTGGTTTCTGTTATATATTTTATGCTTAATTACACATCCTGGATGGTAAAAAAGGTTATCGCAAGACTTGCATGTTACAGCTTGGTTTTTTATTGCCTTCTTACATGCCGAGCATCGATATTCGTCGTATTCTTCCATATCGATAATTACCGGTCGAAACTGCTAATATCAGCATAGGCGATCAGTCACTTTTGCATCCACTTTCACACGTCAGCACTTTGTCCACCTTCAATGTCCACCTGTCGTACGAGACTTGGGCGTCGCATACAAGAAATGTAGTTCTTATGTTCACAAATGAGCATACTGCAGCTAGATAACACTCATGACTATTCCCGGTCTATGTAGCTATTACTTCAATAGCTTTTTACCACTCTCCCTTATTATTTAACTACTTAAAAATTATCACTTTTATAGAGCGATGTTTGACACGTCTTCTCCATCGCAGAGAGAGAGCCTACTTTCACATTAATCATCTTAATAATATTTCTACACTTATTTTATATACATTATACATTTCCATTTATCACCATACATGCCACCTCACCCCACATTCATGAATTCATACGCTTTCATTTCTCATATCTGAATTTTCCCTAATCCGGTAGTACTTTTACATATGATTCTAGTTTTCTTTTAAATTCATTTAATGATTCTGTTTCTTTTATATCTGCTGGTAACTTATTGTACATATCGAAGCCTAAATAGGTTAGGCACTTTTGTCCCGCTTCTGTCCTACAATGTCTCAACCTTAAATTTCCCCTCTGCCGTGTTTCATACTCATGTGCCTCTCCTACTAAGGTTATTTCCTCCACGAGGTATCGTGGCATCATTTCGTTCAATATTTTATATACAAATACGCATGTCTTGTATCGCAGTCTTTGTCGTATTGTTAGGAAGTTTAATTTATTTGTCATTTCTCTTATTCTTGTATACCTATTACATCGCAGTATGGCTCGCATTGCTCTATTCTGTGTTTTTTGTATCTCATCCATCCAATGTTGACTAAAGTTTAACATGAGTGTGCTGCAATAATCAAAGTGCGGCACTATTATAGTATTGTAAATAGTCACCAATGTATTATGCGTTACAAATTTATTTATTCTAAACATAAAATTAATTTTCTTTGCTGCCTTTTTAATTATATACATCGCTTGGCTATTCAGATTTAAATGATTGTCTATTATTACACCTAGGTATTTAAACTCATTAACTTCATTAATTTGTACATATCCCAACCTAATATCACATACGTTTATCATATTTGATTTTCGTATATCATGTATTATCATAAACTTTGTTTTTGTCGTGTTCAGCTTTAGCGCATTTTTGTCTAGCCATTCAACTACGTTTGTCAGATCAAAATTCAGTTTTCTTTCTATTTCATCCATGTCTTTGCCATCAATGAATAAGAATGTATCATCCGCAAACATTTTGCAATCACAGTAGAGAGAGAGAGAGAGGGAGGGAGAGAGAGAGAGAGAGAGAGAGAGAAAGAGAGAGGGAGGGAGGGAGGGAGAGAGACAGAGAGACAGAGAGAGATTGATTGATTGATCTTTATTAGCTTTCTCAGCTATTTGTAATACAAATCTAGTTTACATTAATTACAATATACTCCTTTAACATTCGCTTAAATGGCACAATTCTTTCATTCCGCTTTATTTCAGCTGGCAAGGCGTTATACATTTTCACTCCTTCGTAAAACATACTCTTTTGCGCATCCTTCAGTGCCGTCTAATATTTCAAAATCTATATTCTCTACTTCCCTCTTACCCCCTGGTCCGCCTCTAATTATTTCTTTTAGTGTTTTCCACAGAGATGTAGGATTTTCATGATTAAGATCTATCATATTTTCATAATATTCTTTCTTCTTTGTCTTAATTAATTTAACTACTGTATTTCTTTCAATTTTAAGTTGCAACCAATTTTGTTCCGTGTCAGCATACAATGCCTTCCTATATGCCTCATCCCTTTTAGCCGCTGCTTCTCTCATTTCATCCGAAAACCACTTTTTCCCTTCCCATATTCTCGGAATTCTAAAATTTTTTCTAGGTGCTGTAGCGTCCAACGCATTTACTATACTATCAACAAATTTCTTCGCTCTCACACTGATATTCATATCTTGGTTTTTCTCTAATTTATTTTCCACTAATTTAATAAATTCATCTATATTAAACTCTCTATAATTCCTAACACTAAGTTCTCTGTATTTATTATCAAATTTATTCGCATTCAGTTCAACTTTAAGCCACGCATGGCTTCACTATTCGCATTTGGAATCCATCATTTATTGCATCAATTCAATTCTGCTTCTTGATTGTAGTTATTAAGTCACCATCATCCAATCTCATTTCTTCTTCAGTCATCAGCTGACATTGATAATTTTTATTTTGGGCTTCATCTGCGGTGATTCCGTAACTTTGAAATTTTCTCCTAGTTTATCCTGCACTGTGGCTTTCGACGTTTTCATTTCTTCTCCAGTTTCACAACCCATGATCACTGTTCCCTTGCTTCCTTTTTTAAGCTTCGTTATTCCCATCGCCATGTTTTTGATATCTATCTTTTCTTTTATCAATTTTTTTGTAACTTCACTCTCTTGTTGAATCTTGGGTTTGATAATTATAACATTCTCTTTCTTTTTCTCTTTAGCCGCTTCACTATAGCTCCTTTGTATTCCTCCTGTTGATCCACATACTTCTCCCTGTATCATTCTTTCCAACTCTTCTAGCAGTTCCTGCTTAACATTTCCCAATTTTTTTCGAACTATTTCCTTGACCATCATTTTAATTTCCTTCTTACATGCTGTTTCATCTTTTATTTCTTTTACAATTTTTACCAGTCAATCTATTTTTACGTCAATAGTCGATGATCCACTCGCTCCTGATAATCTATTTCCACTACTTGGCGTCGTAAACGAACCTATAGATCCTGTAGATCCTAGCCTGTCCCTGCCGCCCCCGGCCACTGCCGATGCCTTCTTCATATCTGCTTCACTTTCAATTGTAAATCTGTCAAATGGGCCAGAACACGGTACCAATTCTTGATTTTTATCGTAAATCCTATGCTTGCTTACACATCCTGGATGGTAAAACAGCTTAATACAATTCACCTGATAGCAAGACTTGCATGTCACCACCTGATTTTTTATTGTCTTTTTACATGCCGAGCATCGATATTCAGCATATTCATCGTCCATGCCGATAATTATCGGCCGAAACCGCTAATATCAGCGTAAGCGATCAGTCACCTCTGTTCCACTGTCACACGTCAGCACTTTTGTGTCCACCTTTAATGTCTACCTGTCGTGTGAGACTTTGGTGTCCCAGACAGGAAATGCACTTCTCACGCCCACAAATCAGCATATCCCGGCTAGATAACACTCATGGCTAATGCCGGTCTATGCCGCTATGACTTGAATAACTTTCTATCACTCCCCGTAACTATTTAACCGTTTAAAAGTTATTACTTTTGCGTTGCGGTGTTTGACACGTCTTCTCCACTGAGAGAGAGAGAGAGAGAGAGAGAGAGAGAGAGAGAAAGAGAGAAAGAGAGAGAGAGAGAGGGACGGACGG